ATCTTGTTTATTTTGAAGCCTATTTACCGTTAATATAATTTTGATTTTAATTAACCATGCGCGTTATTTTGAAACTGTCTATTTCGAAAAATCAATATTCTATTTCGAAATATCGCACATGGGCGTCCCAAAATAATGCGCAGGTGAATAAATTAACGCGCAGGGGTGCGTTATTTCACCGGTATACGGTATATTTAATTAGGTAAGCATGTGATTTATCAACTCTGTAATGTTTATTCAGTTCTAAACTAACATATCTATCTTATACCAAAACTATTTTGTGAGGATTACTATGTATTAGCCGAAGATATTTAAAACCACAAAAACTTATTTGTTGAATACAATAATTTTAGAAACATTGAAGAAGTAGATAAAGAAGGGTTTTCTGTAGTGTGTAAAACATCATATGTATTACCTGTAGTATGTATATCCAATCTATTAATAAATTTTTATTAGTTATACTTACCAAAAATTAATTAGTAAATATTTATAAATTGAATAGTTATTTTAAACACTTAGATTAACTTAATAAAATTTTTTATACAAACCTAAATTAAAGCTTTATAAATACCAATAGCTATTTAAAACACTTAGATTACTAAAATTTTATTTATACTTATCAGATTAATATGAACCTGAATAGCTCATTTTAAACACTTTAGATTAATAATTTTCTTTGTTACTTATCTAAATAAAATTACTCAGTAAATATTCATGAACCTGCAAAGTTATTTTTTTATCATATTCATCTAAATTAATGCGAGATAAATAAAATATAAAATGGTATATAATTATGAATCTGTATAGTCCCAGGGTTTTCTGTAACTCGAAGTCTTCTGATTTTTTGTCAAAAATGATTTTTGCAAGATCAAGATAACAATCCTGCACAAACAAGGCTTCACGTTTCTCAAAAAATAGTATGTTGTTTGGAAGATTAAGGAATTTGGCTTTAATTTTGGCACTTTTTAAAGAGATCCAAAGTTCTGTTAATTTTTGGTCGAATCTATCACTATTGTTTATAACATTATGTTCAACTTTTAGACGCTTTGCTTCATGATCTAAATAAACTAAATAACATTATTAATGTATTAAGAATAATATAAAATACAAGAAATTTAATATGTAAAAAAGCTTACTCTTATGGTCAGATCTGCTAAAATAATTGGTTATTTCATTTAGTGGTATTTTTTTAGTCTGTAGCAAAAAAAAAAATATAGCATCAGAACTTTTTATTATAAGGGAATATGTATAGTTAATTTCTTTTACGGAGCCAATGTTCTTATAATCGATCAGAGTAAAGATATAATATTGCAAGTGTATGCATTTAGAGAAGCATAGTCTTTTGAAAGCCAAATGCTCTTCTTCCCATAATACCGCAGTATAGGATGTAGTACAATCCACAATATGAAAATGCACACTAGGGTATAGTATCTACAAAATGAAAATATATACTAGGGCGTAGTACAATTCACAAAATGAAAATGCACACATGTGGTTAAGAAACCTGCAAGACATCTAAACGCTCTTTTTCCCATAATACCGCAGTATAGGGCGTAGTACATTTACAATACTTTACTCTTAAAATAAAAATTCTAACCTTCAACTCTTTTTGGATTAAAGACGCTTTTATATAGTAAATTGAACCTTTGTTTTTAAGGCTGTTCAAGATGAGGGTGAGTTCTGAACTCAAAGAAGTGTGCGATTTCTGCTTAGTTGACTTATATTTTTTTATATAAAACGTATCCCATTGGTTTATAGTCTACTTTTCAACTGATCGTTCCCAAAATTCTACCATAAACTTTAGTGTTATATTATTGGTTTTATAATAAATTCTGTATATTTATAACAGATATATATTAACCTTTTTCACAAAGATTTTCTAATACTTCATTAGGAATTCCACTACTTGGCATGTTTGAAGATGGTTGAAAAGATATAGACAATTAAGAAAAATATTTTGGTATATCTAAAGTTTGGTTACGTCTAGTTACTAGGAATCGGAAACTGATATAAGTCTGGAGCATTACCGTATTTGGTAATATCCCTGACTGTACTGGTAATCAATGGTTGTTTTCAAAATAGTTTTGTAATCACGTGTCACACGGCGGGACAGACAAAAAATTTTGAAGTTACGTTATTGATATGTTTATTATAATAATTACGTTAATGCATCAAAAAGAAACGTTTGATGGTTGAAACACATCAAAAACATAACTTTTGTATCACTTAATACGTAGAAATTGAGTGTCTGTCGCTATGCTCCAGACAATAAACAGAAAGTAACAACAAGGCATGCAGTTATTTAAATTATGCGGTTGGAAAGTTTATTGATAGCGAGTAAAATAAAGAAATTTATGAAAAAGGGTAAGTTCTAAATGAGGAAGTAGGTGCTACATGTGACCTCCAATCAAATGTTTATTTCATTAAATATTTTGGTCTATGTAAGATTTGTTTATAAACAAAAATATAATGATATGTTCCAAAACTTTCTATATATACAACAATTTTTATATATGTAAATTTTTCAAAAAAAGACATGCCTCTAGACATGCTTAATCACCATGCTCCCTACTCTACACAAGATGCAGTTTCAGTGATTTAAATTATGTGGCTGAAAAATTTAGTGGTAGCGAGTAGAATATAGAAATTTATGGAGAAGGGTAAGTTCTAAATAGAAAAGTGGATGTATAGAGAGTACCCTTATGTCCCACAAATCCAAACCTCCAATCAAAATTTAGATAATTCGATATTGATTTTTATATACTTTTTATATAAAAGAACAATTCTGAAAATTTTTACTTAAGAGCCTGAAAGCAGGTTATAAATTTTGGAGACGGTTTATTTTTCATATTTCAATCAGTTTTTATATATAAAAAAAAATAAAACCATTCCAAACATTAGCAGATTATCATACAGTCATAGTAAAATTTTATTATCTATGCTTTATTGTTAGTTTTTTTTTCTTTGTATACAAAGATCATTATTTTATTGATTTCGATCTATATGAAGGATCCAGATTTGCAGGACATAGCTGTACCTTATATGGAATCATTTATCGGGTTTCGCTATTTAAAGGTTCGGTTGTAAGGTATATGATCGTAACCAGTGTTGTCACGTCTACTATATCCATTGCCTATGTTCACGTCCAAACGTCCACAGTGTCCACAATTGTCAAAAAAGATACAATTATATAGATCTGAATATTTTTGCTTAAAAGATTAAAATAGGTTTTCTTAATAAAATTTCAAGTAATTTAGATTTGTTTTTTATTCACAATTGTCTACAACCATAATTTGTCGTGTCAACACTAATCGTAACCATATGCATCACTGGTACTTATATTCATGTACAATAGTAACACATGCATTTTTCTAGAACATTATAATCAAACCATTTATAGTTATACATATAATTGGTGGTAGATTTCTAAATAATACTGTAAATAAAATGTTAGATATTCTGGAATGCTTTGTATTTTTCTAATTGATTTTTTTTTTTTTTCAACTTAACACAGCACGACTTCGGTTTTTGTTCACTTACTATTGCTCTATTCCAATTGAGCAAAAGAACCTCCCATTATTTACAAAGAATAACCCTATTTAAATTCATTCTATTAGACTCAAATTGACTAAGATACTATTTATGCATTAAAATATACGTATGATGCTCAACTGATGCGATTTATAATACGTAATAATTGATTAGTTTTTACTTGCTTATCCAATAAAATTAAAAACTCTGCATGCAATTGTTTTTATCTGTCGCTATCGCTATAGAGAAATTTTTTATAATTATAGCATCAGTAGGTCTTGAATCCGGTGCTAGCATTTGGTAAAATAAAGAACAAATCGATACACAATACGTAGGGGATATTTTATTATGAAATTAATTAATGTAGCTTTACCGTTACTACGTACTGTTAACCCCTGCAATTAAACATCATGTGATATTAAGTGGTAATGTGACACTAATGCCAAGAGTGCTAAGTTTTAAAGCATTAGTAGCACTGAATAGTGCTACGTAAGAAGTGCTAAAGGGGAAAATGTATAAATAGCCTCACGTATCGCTTTTGTAACAAGACAGAATCGTATCTTCATACACGAACTCGAATATTTTATTAAACAAACAATAAAACTAACAATCCCCTAAAGAGTAATCGTGTCTTCATACACAGATAACTCGAATAAATAGTAGATCAGTTATAGTGTCTTAATACACGAATAACTCGAGTAATTTATTGAATAAACTGTAAACTTGTTTATACGACTACTTGTATCTTCATATACATTTAACCGTTTGCCTCTTTCGTAACTGCAAATCACCACAATCCTCTTAAAAGCGTAACTGCAATAAAACTCTATATTTTACTTAAGCATAAAACGGTATTCTTATCAATCGTCTAACATACCAGTCACTAAAAATAAAACCGTTATACCGAACTGATAAGAGGTAGTTTCGGGTGTAACAGTGCCTAGTCATATGTTATATCTAAAAAATAACTTCACAAGATCGTGCTATTCTCGACTTAAAGATTCAGCGTGATAAACTGATACAATATCAAAAAAAAGTAACTTAAGTTTCATAGAGTAAACGATATTCACCTTGTCTTCTATCTAATTAAATATTGGTCTTCCAATTTATTTTGAAGCTTCTAAACATTTCTGAAAGAGAAACTGAAATAGCAAAAAAAGCCCTGCGCAATGTGGAGTCCTTTTGGCTTTAAAAAAGAAAAAATATCAAGAACAGTTATTAAAAAAAACCCGATGCACAGCTATTGAATCTTGAAGGATTGGTTGGTATTCTTCAGTCGCAAACTTTTCCGAAAGATAAGCCCAAAATCAGACATTTATTAAACTTTTTTTTTCGGACTAATCTGTTTCGCAATCGCACAAAAAAGACTCAATCAATAGAATTCGCGTTGGTTGAAAAGGATATATTAAGCGGCCTGGAATTAGGGAACAACATTTTGAAGGAAATTCATAAAGAGATGTCAATTGAAAGAGTGGAAAAGTTGATGGAAGATACCGCAGACGCTATTTCTTATCAAAATGTGATTATTTCATTCTATTAATTCTATTACTGCATTAGATATCCTAAATAAATTTTATTTGTTAATCCGTATAGGAAATTGAAGAATTGCTAAGTGGAAAGATAACAAGTGAAGATGAAGATGAAATATTAGAGGAGTTGAGAAAGATCGAAGAGGAACAAGTATGATACTTTTAATTATATTCATAATTAATATGAATGAGAGATTAATATATACATTACTTTTCAGCTTGAATTTCCCGAAATTCCTACGACTCAACTTAAGATTGCAGACGTAAAAAGCAGGGACGATGATTTGCTGCGGCAATTAAACCAAAATCCTGTCGTTATTAATTCGTAATTGGTCCGTATTATTTCACCAAAAATCAGCTCATTTAGCCGACATCACGCCAGGTGAATTTTAGTAAAAATATATACCTGCAACTAATCAAATGCTTAACGCTAACCTTATGTGTTGTCGGCTAAATGAGCGTTCGGTGAAATGATTGTCAGTGAATTGATCGGTGATTTTGAGAAATATGTGAATTTTAAAAAAAAAACTTGCAATTTTTTAAAAACTGCAATTTTTTAAAAACTGCGTTCAACTAAACAAAAAAGTCAATCGGACTTAGTTAATTACTACAAATATTCATAATTATGGCATATTTATTACAAATATTCGTAATCAATACAAATATTAGTAATAATTACGAATAATTATATAGTAATAATTATAGATCCAAAAATATGTATTTATAATTTTCGCAAACGCTCAAAAATATAGGAATATATTCCTTAAAAAAAAAATCGTACTAAAGTACATTTCTTTAAAAAAATAAAGCACAAACCTTTATTATTGAAAAGCCTAATTTATTATATATCATATAAACAAAACGATTGCAAAAAATGCCATGACAGAAAATTGTATCACCTCATAGTCCAAGATTGGTCCAAGCCTATGTTCCAAGTTTAAATAATCAATAAATTAAAAAAATATATAATTATATATATTTTTTAGGTGCTGGATTCATTTATAAAAAAAATTAAAATAGATTATCTTAATAAAATTTTGAGTAATTTTAATTTGAAAAAATGTTCAAAAGAGTTCAAAAATATCCATGTGACAACACTGACCTCATACTTGTGTTAAAGAATTTTCTAAACACTTTTATGTGGATAATAACATACATTTTGTAATGTGTCTATAGAATAGAAACACAAGTAGAGCTTTGGATTTGTATTCTTTATTTGAATATTCATATTCAGCAAATATTCAAATACAGTATAAATTTTTTTAAACTCAAAATGAATCTGTTTTATTTTTGGTATATAATTGATTAAAACAGCTACTAGCTTATCTTTAATTAAACCATAATTTTAATTTAATTCTAATTTCTTTTCTGAGGAATTAGATAATACAATTCATTAACAGAAAAATGATCCTTTAAAATTTTATTCTATAATTTGTGAAACATTTGAAATTACATTTAAAAAGTTTAATTCTCATATTAACACTCATTCTTCATTTTCTTTATTCAAAGTATGTCAAATATTTGATCCTTCTTATTTTTGTTTTGGTTTATTAAAAAAAATATATTTGTCAATACTCTATTATTTGTGAATTAGCTAATCCTTCAGAACAAATATTAAGAGAATAGGTTATTTATTGTGAGTTAATTGAAAATGAAAAATTAAAAATTTAGACATGTTTTGAAAAAGTAATGCAAACAAATTACCTTTATTATCTGATATAGATTTGGATTATATTTGGTTACCTATATCTAGTTGTAGTGTTAAGTATAGCTTTTCTATTTATAATAATATTTTAGCTAGTGATAGACAAAATCTTTCTGAGATTTTGCTTAAAACATTAAATATAATGTAC